CATCGCAGGAGCAAACTCGAAAAGAAAATATGAAACATAATGCTCTGTTACGCGGATCAGCCTAGTTTTTCCATGAATGTTTCTATCAATGTAGAGCCATTGACGATTTTTGTTGTGGCGATAATCACATCATAAGCCATTCCTTCCTGAAAATGAAGCAAGTGGCAGGGGATTCAGGAACAGTAAGCGAACAAAGAGAGTTTGTCTTTCGATAATGAACTATTGAAGTTTGCATATTACCTTTGAGGCGAGATACCGTAAAGCAGAGATTTCAGCAAATGTTACACCTCCAATGAAGACAACAAGAATAATTGAGCGTCTTCCATCAGCAACCCTGTAATGATGACTCACATTAAACCTCTCACATATTCAAATCCTTCAATGTTTTATCGTTTTGAAGAAACTACTTCTGCGGTAGCAAACTAATTGTTAATGAGAGACTTACCCATTTGAAGCTCCATGCAGTGAATCAACTGATGGACTACTTGGGAATCCACTCTGCACAGAGATGGTACAAATTCATGCATTTACAATAGAAAAATAGTTGAAATGAGAAGATACAATAGCATAACAAATATGGAAGCATTTTTTGTATCTATCGAATTAGGAAAAGGAGAAAGTGAGTACTGACTCGTTTAGTTTCTAGATGAGGTCCTGGCAACAGCTTCAAAATGTCTTCCATAGGACGCCTGTAAGTAGATTGTGTCATCAATAAACAACACCGTTCTTTCAACATTCATATATGAATTAGTAAAAGTAATTATTTACGAAAGCCAACGTGTTTCTTTCACAGGCTACATAGGAAAAAAGTTTTGGCTACAAGAATGCAAGAACATACTAACCATCCAGAATGAATAGCTTGTTGGATAAGACGAATGCTAAGCGGAGCATATCCAGAATAGACATAAGCGATATCCTCCGGCCTGCACAAGAAATTTATTTCTCACAACTCAAACTGATTTAAGCACTTCATTTTATGCTAACAGAAAGTGCTAAGTACAAGATCAAGTTTGCATATATCATGTATTCATCTGGACCAAATTCATAAGCTTAATCCCAGTAAAAAAAAATCATGCCAATGATTAATATCATGTATTCAGTAAGAGACAACATGACTAAAATAATTTACCTAGACGTATCAGTATCTTCAACTATAAGTTTCAATGTACGTTTTATGGTTTGCCAGTTGCTTTTAAACTCCTGCACGAACCAAACGAAGGTATGACAAGCCATTAGAATGTCAAGACTTTACCTAACCCAAGAATAACCAAGAAAAATAATTCATTCCATTCCACAAGTAAGTAAAGAACCAAAACCTGCTTCTTCAACAATCCTGCTTTTTCCAGGTTGTTCAATGCGACCACATGCTCAAACCCATAACTGTGGAGTAGTTCCGTTCTGCAAGTTGAAACCCGAAGACAATGATTCAAAAGACAGAAAACTGAAAAATATATAACAGAATGACTGGTGGAAGCTTAACTTGCCTTATATAATCAAATTGTTTTTTTGGTAACCCTGAGTTTGTAACAGAAAACAGGACTAATAGACGTAGAACATTAGTGAGAGGCTCCTGTTTATGAATCATCTCTTCTATGTACTCAAAGCATCTGCATTTACAAACTAAAGCTAGTAAGAATCAATCATATAATATATTTAAATATCCATTAGCCATCAAGTAAAATATTCTTCGCATCACTTGTAACAGAAAGAACCATGAAATCTTCTTAGAATGGAAGTATTGAATACAACTGAAGTGTTTATTTAAAAAGAAACTTACATGTCATAACTTTCTGCTTCAACAAGTGTCTGTTCCATATCAAGTTTCGAAAGAAAGGATTGCTTGGATGTGAACGTTGTCAGGTGCTGTGCAAGATGTATGTGCCTCTGGGAAAAAAAAAAATTCCTAACCAATTAAATTAAAATGAAACAAATCCAGGTCTGAACAATCTGCGAGATAAAAGAAAAGGAACTTAAAGAAAACAAGACAATACTTACTGTCATCTCTGGTAATGAGTTAAGCTTCTTGACAAAATCCTTTAGCTCAGAAACTGTCTGGGTCTGTGCATATATTACCATACCCCATTAAAATCCCGGTCCAACTAATAATCTAAGAGGAAAATTAATGAATAGGCTCCTGATAGTTCCTAAAGCGTAACATGGTCTATATTTATTTGGTAAACTATTAATGTGCCAAAGAACACTCCTGCTCGATGGCTAAGAGATTTAAACACAAACCTCTACCATGAAAACAAGTCTACATAAAGGACTAGAAAAACAAACGTACAGAATTAATTTCAGTGTAGTCCTCCTTCATGGTTGTTGCCTTCTGCCGTAGAACCTGCAACCATACTGCGTCTGGAGGATGAGTACACAGAACCCCATGTCACAAAGAATGAAAGCCAAAAGGACAAAGGTCCACCTGTACAACGACTTCAAAGTTGAGATCCCTTGTCTCCTTGAACAATTTATCACTGTGCATTTAAACATTCAAGAAATAATGTTAACACTCAAACATATCCGACTACTGGAAGTGTTAGCTGGTAAATAGATTTTCGTTTTTAGGTTGACATTTCATAAATACCTACAAAATTATGGAAAACATAGATAGACACTTGGAATGTCTAATCTAGCTACCAGTTTCGGAAGCTCTTTTGTGTGCATAACTAACTAATACAAAGTAATAGCAGACAGTGTGCTTATCCAATCCAAGGAAATCACAATTTCTTTTCATTTGTTTTTTCCTCAATCACAATCTCTATTCATGCATAAAAATACTCACAGAAATCATATAGCAGTGCAATAGAAGATAGCAACAAACCTTGAATTGAGGGGAACTTTCATCTTTTTCCCCTCCTGCTGAGAACCCATCACAGATGAGTCTATCTCCACAGCTCCATTACTGATATGCAAAAACTTTAAATAAAGGTTGGAGTTAGCTCACGGAAAACCCAATCGACCAGCTTAATTCCAACCCAAATTGTGTGGTTGTTATCATTGCAACCAATAAAACCAAATAGTTCTACACCATTGTCTGACCTTATCAAAATTCCAGAAAAGTGCATAAACTCAGCAGAATACAGAAAAGCCCGTGGAAACTAATTTGGCTCTCACACTAGCGTACGACTTTATTGTGAGAAGAGAAAGCGAACTCATTCAATATAACTCAAATTACTAGTAAGACTATGATGCATGAAGCCAGTATCCTCCCTCAGAGAGTTAAAAGTCCACCAGTTGCCCAGCCGGAAAAAACTACTCAAGCTAATTCTATTCAAAACTGCAGTATTCAATTTTTGTGACTTTACCTCATCTAACAGTCCCTCATAAGTTAACTGAGAACACATTGGAGTAACCATGTCAACCTGAAACAGAAAAGTGAAAGGTGAAACTGGTATCGCCATGTGAATACATTTTTTTACAAGTATGCATTATAAAGGTACACATGTTGTTTAGTTTGACAAATCTAATTAAAAAAAAGAGCTAGGTTCAGAGAGATTATAAAGTAGTGTTGCGGCACAGCCTCTATTTGTTAATCTAATGGATGCGTGCTTTAGCTTCATAAAGCCAAAAACCAAAAACCCCATTCCATTACCAAATATTATGCCAATCTAGTGAGATCGTAACAAGTTTCTAAACTCTTAACCTTTATATGCAGATTGACAAATTCCATTGTTTGCATCATATAAAAATATATTTTCAACTTCCATCTGACATTACTCTTTAACGTTCATTTCTTGAAGGACTTTTCTGTTTTCAAGGATATCATATAACGGCAAAACACATGATAATCGTACCTCTCTATCCAATATAATGAGTGTATCCACTTCCGGTCTTCCTACCTGAAATAGAACACACATCTTTTAAAATAATGATAAATGGAAACACAACCATTTGCTACGTTATAAGATAGAAAGTCACTGAATGTTATAAAACTCAAAGTGCTGCAGGAAAATTTTACATCATTCGAATTGACAGGTTCCTCCACTTGCATGCGGCTAAGTATATCTGCAACACGAACTGATGCTTTGCCCTTTGCCCTCACTTTCGATATAACTCCAAAAGAAAACTATGATAAGAGTCAGTCATCAGATAGCCTTGTGTGGATCATAATGTAAAGAATAACAAACGATTCAAACCTCGAGCTCATGTATGGCTTTCGCGACATGCCAAAGTGAGCTCACATCACCATCCACAAGGCAATCCTATCATTCAAAACCAAGTAAACCAAAACATATAGGAAAGGTGTGATTTTAAAGGCTTCAAGGAAAAAGGCACATGAGAGTTCTACACACTTTTTCAGAGAGCTCAAGCTCAAATGATATCACATCCTCATCTAGTGGAACCATATACAGGGGAAACTCCTTTACGGTAACCAGGTTATGCACTTTTTCCTGCTCGAGAATCTGAAATAGCAGAATAAAAATATTTACTATCCCTTAATTCAAAAGGTGGTAAAACAAGCAAACTGAAGCACAATAAGTATTAGAAGATGGCAATAATCACATACCTTCTCACACGCAACAGACCTACGAGGAACAAAGTAAACGTAGTAGTCTCTCTGAATCGCTTTTGAAATATCATTCTGAATGTGAGAAGCTATGAATTTCATAAAACTGAGTTGAGAGCGAACGAGATAAATCACTTTCGTGCATTCAGTCTGAACTGGTTCTGCAGAAAGATGTCGTAATTCCAAACCAAGTTCCTGTTTGGCGAAAAAACAAGAATATCACCACTAATGTTGAAACCAAATTCGACCATTAGAAGAAGAAAACAAAGTATATCATATCTTTCTTTCCCAAACAGAGTAATCGATCTTCAAATCTGAGGAAGCCTGGAATTTTACCTTGAGGGCAGACGTCTGGATGATCAATGAGACAGAACCACTGAGCTTTGGATCAATAACTAGACATTTATTTCCACGAATCTACAATCAAAGGCATCAAAGAGTTTTGAAAAATTAGTCTTTGACGAATCGGTAAATCTTCTCCAAAGTTCGTTCATCGTAGTAATTCTCGATCATGCGACATTGGTTCAATAATTTCGTCGGAAAAGAGAAGAATTAAGAGCAAAGCGAGACAAAAGCAGTGATTTTTATTTCACATTCTCAATAGAGATTTGTTTGATCAAATACAAGTCGGAAATTTCTTATCGTTTCGTCCCAATAAAAATACCGAAATTGATAATTCCCGACAACCAAACTGGACCAGAGTAACGAGACTTACGTCTTTAAGCAAGTTTACGAGCTCCCTCTGAGACTTCTCCCTG